TCGCCTCCTGCGCCACCGGGCACGAATGGCAATTCGCAGTGGGCTCTTGCTCGGTTGACCTCCTCCGATGGCATCCTGCCTGCCTCGAGGCGCTGGAGCTGTCTTCTGAGATATCTTTTGCCGAATAAACAAGTCGGTCTACTTTGTGGGTTCACACCATGTCTCAACAGGACAAACATGATCTTGCCACCCAAAGACAGAACCAGCCATCTTCACATTGATAGCCTCGAGTCTCTGTCATCAGGACCATTTGGCGCCACGCGATTGGCCCTACTAGACGTCAGTGCTTTGGAGATCGGTTGCCAACCGGCTGCTGGCCACGCCTGCGCCAAGAACATGGACCCACCGAGGGACTTAAGAGCGCCGTCGTGTGGAGGGTCCTCTTGTGCACCGCATTCACACTCTCTGTTCGTCTGTCCGAGCCTTGTTGGGTTGACACGCGACTCATGCAAGATGCACTCCTGTCGCGAGGGCATCTCGCCAACCCATCTCTGAGGGACAAATGGGCGACCAAATATGCCGGTTCAACCTGGAAGATTTGGCCTGGTGACAATGCAACCAGAGACTGGGATAAATGGACAGTTATGTAGGTTGCAACCAGGGATTAACAGACCAAGAGACGAGGAGACGGCCAAGCAGACAAACTGATACTCGAATGGAAAGATGAACAGACGAATGGAGGAATGAAAGTAGGGAAAACCTGACGGGCGGATAGTTGAATTTTCCCACAATTATATGAGTAGAGCTTACTTTTTCATTGAATTTCACAGCCATTCTTTCCCATTCAGACAGGAGTGTACTGCAGATTCTCATCGGCAACCCCAGCCGAACTCGAACCTTGGTTTTGGTAGAGCAACTTATAATCATATTTTGTGTTGGGAGTGTCGATGAAGCAAAGTTCTAGTTGCTATGCAATCAAATAGATTACTTATTTTTCGTTTATAATTAGTTGTTTGAAACTAACCATATAACATAGGTATGAGATGTATTTCGTTTAAGGGGATGAGGGCTTTCATTTGCTTTTTTAATTTTATAAGTAGGCTTTAGAGACTACTAATAAATCAGATACATTAGAAGTTTAATTTAATGCAGGACACTTCATATATTTGACTTGCTGGTAGTCTCGAAAGCCTACATATAAACAAAAAAAGAGTAATGTCGTCAATTGCTATGGCAAATATAACTTTGCTTCATCGAAAATCCCAACACAGAATGTGATATGGAAAAGGCCTGATATTCATGGAAATTCACATTTGCCCTATGACCCAAGGGCATTTGTGGCAATGTGACGTAGGGGTTGATGTGTCGATATGATACGCTGCACTGTCATGGTTCGAATCCCGCTGAGGAGAAACTGCAGTCCACCCTGGGTGAGAATACCTCTTGGGAATAGAAATGTAAGGTCTACTCGTATGATTGTGGGAAAATTCAACTGCTAGTCCTTCATCACCTTAAACGAAATAGGGTTTATACACCTCATATAACTTTCGTTTCGCTTAAAAAGTGAGGGATCCATAAGTTGCCTTGGAGTTGTGGAGGTCGATTTGGGCGAATAAATCCTCGGCCCACCAACCCGCGATCTAGTCCCTCGTACCTCGTCATCCTTCTGCCAACAATGTGCCGAAGAGGTCTTCATCGCCAAGCTACATCAAGAACTCCAAAGAGGCCAATTAAAAATACAGTTTTTCTTTATATTTTTATGCAAAGAAAAGTTGGGTTTAGAGGTATCTCTTGGTTTTTAAATGTTGATCTCATTTCCCTTTCGAGGGAAAGTGTGCGACGAAGCAGTTCGAGGGTTGATCTCACCAGAAGTCGGCGGTGGATTCTTTTTGACGAGAAGTCGATTGGTTCAACTTGAACATTTTTGGTGACGCTCTTTCCGAGGAGATATCTTTCAATTCCGATAAAACTGAACTATGCTTTTGTTCCTTGCATTACGGACATTATCAGTACGGTTTGTCATTTTTACGAACATATTTAAGCCAATGAGTCAAAAAAACTCGACGACGTATCACAAAATACCGTATATATGTGAAAAAACTCGGTTTAAAAGACTGACTCAGTGATATATGATGACAGGACTTTCCATTTCAAAGAAAAAGTTGGTTGGAAAAAAATCATGGTGTGAAGGAGGATTGCGTCGTAGGGAATACTGCTAGATTGTGTCAAAAAGTCCTCGACTCACTGTCTTGTTTAGCATATTTTTGCTCTATTTCGTAAAGTATGAACTCCTGCTCTGACGATTTCTGTCACAGTACAGA